CTCATATCCTCTCTCCCACCTCACTTCGTTAACTTTGCGTATACTTGATGAGGTCAGTAAAAAACGTGTGAATTTCTTTTCCTTTTTTCATTTTTCATTTCAGCTTTTGGAAGTAAAGTCTGATGATCCAGAACCCTGTTAAAGGGGTTATGGTGAAATAGCTTATTACATGGAATCTTAACGTGGTCTGTTTTTTATTCAAACATATATGCTCTGAATTTTACATTGAGCTCTCTGGATATCATCCTCCTCAGGTCTACCCATACGGATTACCTAAGTTTGCATAAACTATAATATATATATATATATATATATATATATATATATATATATATATATATATAAAAGAAATATGTTGTAGTGGTTCCAATGAGAGAAAAGTATGTATATTAAAAAGAAGAGAAGAGAGGTGTAGCAAACGTTTTTTGTTGTAATGTGGATTTATTTAGAAAAATATTATGCTTTGTTTTACATAATTTTACGACACGTGTTTCTGGTCTCGCGACCGTCTTCAGGTAAAAGTGGAGATTTCTACATATTATTAAAAAATAATTAATTTTTCTTCATGTTCAAATGAAATATTCTCGATATGAGACATTCTCTGTTTGTGTTGGTAATCCGAATTTCTTTCTTGAATTGGCAATGAAGAGTTCTGCGCGAAGGGTCATAAAACAATTAAGGTTGGTCCAGCGAGATGATAAATTAGTTATCGGCATTTTATCTTTTAATGTTTTACTGACCCCTATGTGCTCTTGGATCTGTTTCCATTTTGGTGCGTTTCTGTCAGCATGCGTGTATATATGCGTGCGTATATTTTCCTCCATACATATACTGTCTTACTACGAGGAATTCGTAAACTTATTTGTACCTATACACGCATTCAGGTCATATATATATATATATATATATATATATTAGTGATATAATATAGTAATCCGTATGGAATTTCCAGGAGGATATAGATCCAGAGAGAGCTCTATGTCAAAAGACAGAGCAAAATTATTATTAATTAAAGAATATCAAACACTTAAAATCACATTGGTAATAATTTTTATTTTATGAGAGCTCCAATACATATATATATATATTTATATGTGTGTGTGTGTGTGTGTATGTGTCCTGAAAATTGCGTTCAGCGCATAAAACAGACAGTCGCCTCTCGGTGCTGACATCAAGGATTTTGTTTTTACCCACCCCATATATATATATATATATATATATATATATATATATATATATATATGGGATATGTCTCTCTCTCTCTCTCTCTTTCTTTGGGTAGCAGCATTATTTTTTATTTTCCTTTATTTATGGCTTTCTTACCTCTTTTTATGAGCATTACATCCTTTCGTCAAATTTTTCATTCATTAACTATTTTTTTCTTCACAAATTTCATTCTTTTTTTTTTATTCTTTTTACAAATCTTACTCTGATTCACACAAGTCCGACATTTCTTTCTTATACCGGCCTTACTTCTTACCTTTTCTTCAAGCAACGATTTCAAATAGCTCTCATCATTCCCCACACCGCAAAAATTTTTCCACAATTTTCCTTCCCCATTCTATTCTGCGCTTTTTATATCTTCTGCATTCTCTTTTCACCATTGTTTATCTGTCTACCTGTGCCTCGCAGGCTACGAATTAGGCGTTATTACGTTACATCAGGCGGACAACTAAGCCCACACAGGTTTTTCGCTAAAATCTTACACAAACTTGCAACTTGATCCCGATACACCATCTTTCGATTTTATTGTGTATTCAATACATTTTTTGCTGTTAATTTTTTTTCTTTTTCTTTACTTTTGACAGTATGTTAATTCGTTCCTGATTTTTTTTTTATGTGGAGACTTATTTCTGAAGGACGTTAGGGTCTCAGGGTAGGGCCTTATTTAAAATTTTCTGTTCTCCATTCCTCACCACGGAATTATATGTCAGAAGCTGCGTTACTTTATAGGTAGGTATATCAATAATTTGGCAGCCAACTGATTAAAACAGCATTTATTATATTACAAAGAATATATATATATATATATATATATATATATATATATATATATAGTCTTAAGGTGTGCTATGTTTATGGGATAAAGTGCTTAATATCAGAGATAGAGCGTGTATAAATATAAAAGTGAACACTAAGAGGCGACAGTTTGTTTCATGCTCGACGCAATCGTCAGACCACATAATTTTGTCTACATATATATATATATGTGTGTGTGTGTGTGTGTGTGTGTGTGTGTGTGTGTGTGTGTGTGTTCCTTTCCTTATCAATGCATTTAATCTGTTAGTAAATATTAATAACAATGATCGATGTGAAAATTCAAAAGAAAAACTCCGCTAATATTTGTTATGGCAAGAGTTTTATTGATCTAGCGTCACAACATATATATATATATATATATATATATATATATATATATATATATATATATATAGAGAGAGAGAGAGAGAGAGAGAGAGAGATAGATAGATAGATAGATAGATAGATAGATATTATAGTAAAAAATGAAAGAACAGTAAGATATATAATCCGGTGTTCTTATCAATATTTTATTTTTACAAAACAGTACTCAATTTAAATTTACAGAGCATAAATATTATAAATTACCTGATTTAAAAATATGGTTCCTTCGCTTCCATGTTTCAAAAACTGACGTAAAAACTTCAAATTTAATTATATAATTAAATTAAAACCATTAGTTCTGTTTCATCTCTAAGCAAATTTTAGAAATATATATATATATATATATATATATATATATATGTGTGTGTGTGTGTGTGTGTGTGTGTGTGTGTGTGTGTGTGTGTGTGTGTGTGTGTGTGTGTTGTAGGCAGCAAATTCTCATTTAGACATGTCTGATTGAATAAATTAAAGACATTATGTCTGCTAATTTTTAAGAAAATCCGTTCATACTCACGAATAACCTTCCGTGTAATTATTTTAAAGGATGAAAGAAATGTGCTATAGAAGTTTAAATATCTTTTATTTTCATTTCCGAAGTACTTTCGGTTTTCTTCCAAGATCATCTTCATGGATGCAAGTGGTACAAAACTATATGTTGTTCATTACTATATGTATTTATATAAATATGTGTGTTGTTATCTATTACCGTAATTTTTTCATTATGCTTTTAAATGCAAAACGGTTGACATTGTGCTGAGCGGTTCACTAGGATTAAATTAGAAACAAAAAATTATCCATTTTGTAATCTTTTCTTCTATGTTATAATGTCATGGCCACGCGCACATTAAAGCATGGAAAACTTGTTCTTTTACAGGCATTTCAGAACATTACTGCAGTATTCAGAGTTGATTATGTTCAGTGCCCGCTTTAATTTTTTTAATATAAATTGCTTCTAGTATTTGTAATCTAAATTTCTTGATTTCATGGGGTAAGATAGTTGTGTTGTCGATTAGTAATTTTTTATATTGTGAATGCGGACAGGAATGTTGTTGTAGATGTCCATTTCATATATATATATATATATATATATATATATATATATATATATATATATATATATATTTATATATGTTTTACTAGTGCGTATATACAAACAGAACCAGCAGTCTCACATTGCATCACACACAGACACACAGAAACACACAGACACATATACACACACACATATATATATAGATAGATAGACAGATATTTTAAATGTATTTTTATTAATCATTATATATATATATATATATATATATATATATATATATATATATATATATATATATGTATGTATGTATGTATATATATGCATGTATGTATGAATATATATGCATGTTTCATTAAAACGACAGAGAAGATACTACGGGTAAGCTTTTTATTTAATTTTCTGGTGTTCGAATAACAGCTTTCTTTTCTAGACAAACTGCCCAAATGTTTTATATTTCCGAGCGCTTTTGGCTATACATTTAGCCGTTATCAAGGATAATTGAGTGTGTACATTATCTATATGTTTTAGTGCGTTGAAGGGATATTTTTAATTTCTGAATACGGTTAGCACATTGTGGCCTTGTTCGTAGTTAATATTGTTAAGAGTCGGATTTTTCTTTTTCATTATTAAAGCTTCCATTATTTTTAATCTTTTTTACAGAGGGATGCAGTTATTATATTTGTGTTTTCTACTAGTATGTTTCTAATGGAATCGGGTAAATCTGTGTGTATGTTTAAATGGAGCTATGATCAGATAGGTGTAACGTAAGACGTCTGGATAAGCATGTAGTTGTGTAACCGATGTAATTATTTATGAGTCCGGTTTGATCAGGAACACAGTTCCTTAAGGGGCATTTGAACTCATAGATAATATTCGTTCTTTGTAATTATGACTTTGCTGGTGTGCTGTTATTTTTAGTATAAGGTTAGCTGTCTTAATTTTTTTATAATAGATAATAAATTTGATTTTTTTTATTCGGGTCAATTGGGGTAGTGTATTTCTTTATAATATGTCTTAATGAAGATTCGTCTTGTTTGTAGTTAATGTGCATTTAGTTTTTGTAATAAATGTCTATGTGATTTTTGACTGTGTGTTCACTATCGTTATTACTTACTTTGGGGAGAAACAGTCTAATTTGGTGGTCTATAAGGTGGTTAGGGAAGCTGTTGTTGATTAGTGTTTGTATAACATTATTAAGTTCTTTGAGGAAGAGTGGTCTAGTGGATGAATTCTGGTGTGCTCTTTTTAGGAAGTTTTTTATTACTGCTATTTTGTAATTAAGTGGACATTCGGTTTTAAAGTTAAGGTGGCACGAGATTTTTTCTAATTGTTTTTTTATATTATGATGTGATGAAAGTGTTATTATTGTATTCTACGAGAACATCCAAGAATAGAAGACAATAAAACGACGCTATTTAAAGTATTAGTCTAGTTCTTAGGTTAATGTTTTGGTTTTAGAACGACTTGTTGAACAAAACTAACACAAGCTCAGCTTTATCTATGTTCAATGCGAAAATTGTTACAGCTGATCGATCAGCCGGGGATTTATTAAGTTTATAGAATATCAAGGAGCCAATATAAATTTAGACGATAGATAGATAGATAGATAGATAGATAGATAGATAGATAGATAGAAAGGTAACTTTCTAAATACTCGGCCACATGCTCGTAGGTAGGTAGATAGATAGATAGATATATAGATAGATATGAACAGAGTATGGGAGATAGATATGAAAACGGTATGATAGATAGATAGATAGATAGATAGATAGATAGATAGATAGATAGATAGATAGATATGAACAGAGTATGATGGATACATAGATAGATATAAACAGAGTATGTCAGATATGAACATGGTATGATAGATAGATAGATATGAACAGGGTATGATATATATATATAGATAGATAGATAGATAGATAGATAGATAGATAGATAGATAGATAGATATGAAGAGGATATGATAGATAGATAGATAGATAGATAGATAGATAGATAGATAGATACGAACAGACTGAAGTAGATAGATAGATAGATAGATAGATAGATAGATAGATAGATAGATAGATAGATAGATAAGCTAAATAGTAAGATGCAATGGTAGAGACACAGATCTAACTAACTTATGCTCGACTTCTGCTTGACAAAACGAAGTGGGGAAGGGAGACAACCGAAACGTAAATCAATGCAGAATAACTCACTCCCTAAATTTACCAAAGACGACAATTGTTGCAAAGAAATCAACACAAATAAAGAAAAACAAACGGAAAAAATAAGCAGAAAAAACAAAAAACAAAAACTGATGAAATTGGTAAATGCGGGGGGTTGAGGAGGAGGAAAATTTTTTGTCCCGAAATAGAAAGAAAGTGGGTGAACAAAATGGGAAGATACCAAGACAATTACATCTTTTCAATTCGTCAGTGGTAAAATTATGTTGTTTGATTTCAGCCAAATTTGTTCATTTTCATTGAAAAAAAAAAAAAAAAAAAAAGGAAAAAGAAAGAAGACATTTCTTAAATTAGATTTTTATAAAAGTAAATTGGATCTACCAAAATAAATTGTGGAAAGGCTTCGAAGAAAAGCATTTATAAAATGTAATTAGGACAAAATATATAATATATATATATATATATATATATATATATATATATATATATATATATATATATATATATATATATATAAGGTGATTTTTTTGTTTATTTATAAATATTATGTCAATATATATATATATACACGGTACATATATATGTGTGTGTGTATTATATATATTTACATAAATGTCTTTTCATGAGAATGTATGTTCCTGGAACTGTCGTTGTAATGATTATTAAAGTCTTCGTTGTCGGACCTAACGGACTTAGAACTATTATTTTAGTACACGCTCCTATAACAATATATGAATATCTATCTATCTATCTATCTATCTCTCTCTCTCTCTCTCTCTATATCTCTCTATATATATATATATATATATATATATATATATATATAAGTAAAACGAAAGCTTGTCCACCTGTGCTTCTTTTCATATCTATATTTAATCTTTCTACATGTGCTTGAAGTTAGCCCAAATGTTAATATATAATAATTATCATCAATCTTCTTACCAACATTGTTACGATTTTGTTATCATTGTATTCCTCAAATTTCATTAACCAGACTATTAAATATGAGTGTGTGTTTATGTGTGTGTGTTTATATGTGTGTTTATATGTGTGTGTTTATATGTGTGCGTGTGTTTATATGTGTGCGTGTGTTTATGTGGGTGTGTTTATATATGTGCGTGTGTTTATATGTATGCGTGTGTTTGAATGTGTGTGAGTGTTTATATGCGTTTGTGTGTTTGTTTATATGTGTGTGCATTTATATGTGTGTGCGTTTATATATGTGTATGTGTGCGCGCAGTGCTCACTTGTAAACATACGGACATAACGTTTAACCTAATAACAAATAATATCGGATGAAAGATAAACTACATTCGTTCCTTATAAATCACACACACACACATATATTGTATTTGGGCAGCAATCCTTCTTTTATACAAGTTCCATTAAAGACGACTGACAAGGTTAAGCTTTTTATTTAATTTTTCTTATATTCTTACAAGTTTATTCATTCCTGGAAACAAAGTGTGTAAAAACTGTCGAAAAATTCCGCATATCCGACCGCTATCTGCTATTCATTTATCAAGGACGATTTTTACTTTTAATTGAATGTATTTTTTGTCATGTATGTATCTGAAGTTACAGGAATGTATTAATTTCCAAATACGGTCAGCGCATCGTGGCCGTGTTCATATTTAATTTGAGTGCTGGTTTTCTTGTTTTTATTTCCATTGACCAAAAACTTTTTTTTTACATGCGAATTATTTAATCTCTCTCTCTCTCTCTCTCTCTCTCTCACACACACACACACACACATATTCATATTATATATATATTATTCATATATATATATAATATATTCATTTTTATTTATTTATATATATATATATATATATTCATAATTGTGAATATGAGTTTTTGACCCTGGGTTTCACGATCATCATAATTTATCTGATTATCGCAAAATAGTGAAATAACCAACAAATACTATTCTAAAAATAGTGCTCAATACAGAGTAGAGCAAATATAATTATTTATTCGAAAATTATAGCATAAATATGTTATAAAATGACTACAAAAATAGCCATTTTGTTTCAACACTTCTGGTGTTTTATCAAGTGATGGTGTTAAATATAGAATAAAATTATTATTACATTCATCTGTACAAGGAGGAGAAATGTTCTAATTTTTTATATATATATATATATATATATATATATATATATATATATATATATATATATATATATATATATATATATATATATATATATATATATGAGAAATGACGTTCTAATTTTATATATATATATATATATAAAATTAGAACGTCCTTTCTAATTCTGTATATATATATGTGTGTGCGTGTGTGTGTGTGTGTGTTTTGTTTGTGTGTGTGTGTGTGTGTACAAATTAAATATAATAATAATTTATTCCTACAGTAAAGGAAAGCGTGAGGAAAGGACTAATCACCAATTGCTAGAAGACAAAATACTCGTCTCTTCGCAAACGGAACATCACAACCATGCAAATTACAAACTGGAGATACCAAAATCAAGCAAGTACAACAATCTAGTACACTGATACGTGTTTTAAGTAGGATAAAAAGTGGGACATTGAAATCCAAAGGCAAACTGCGATAGCGAAAAATGGTATTTATCAATTCACCCACAGGAATTGAATGTGGCACAAGGCCTTTTTAATGTGGGTATGTCTGAGCCCGTAGGCCCAGCCAAAATAAAACCCATCTAAACCTGCCGAAGCGGGCTAGTTCCGTCAACCTCCCCAACAAAACCCTACCTTCGGCGGAGCTTGTCTGGGTTCCTCTCTGCAAGCAGAGAGTTCGATAGACACCGACCTGGCAGCTCACAAAGCGCAGATACTACACTTTGATCTTAGCCACCGGGCCGAGCGGGTATTCTTTTTATAAATACGCGATAGCGAAAAAATGCCTTCATAAAGATATGCAATGTATTAATCAATGGGAAAACTTTGTTAGAAACATAGAAAAGTTTACTGAACTGTCACGTCATATCTATACTCCTCTATGACATAGAAAGCTGAACAATCTCCCAACAGATGACGAAGTTACTTGAATCAAGAAAATGTGGTTCTACAGAAGGATGTTGAGAACATCACAGACCGAAGTTTTAGAAGAAATGGAAACAAAATTGACACTTATACTTAATATCGGAAAAGTAACATTTGGAATTTCTGTCCCATAATGGGGAAAGAGAAACTGGATAATTTGATACACAGAGAACAGTTTATACACTTACAAAAATAATTCAAAATTCTTTTTAAAATATTGGCGTTTGTATTTAGCTTTATTATTCATGATTAGTAAATATAGTTTTCACTTAATAATATTATCATCTAAATTGCTGAAATTAATTTTAAAATATTTCAAACTTTCAATTCTTTATAAAATTGATTATTCAGTGAAAAAAGTTCTAAAGACAATAGTGTCCTTAATATATCATATTTATATGAGCAATTAAAGCTTTCCTAATCAAATAAAATATTGGTTCTATGGTATTTTTTGTTTTACGATTCAGAGCACATTTTCGGCAACTGGGACAAAGGGAAATGACTCATAAGCTACATAGCGTGCTTGAATAAATGGATGGCAGAACAGGGCTTAAGAAAAAATAATAATAATATTAATTATTGCGAGCTAAACAGGACAGAAGCCTGTGGAGAGGCATGATCTGTAATGCCGTAAAGGGACACTGTACATAGATAAACAAGAATAATCTATTACATTTTCTTGATGTTCTCCGTGAATACCGATTAGGTTGATTATAACCTAATTTACTAGAAGTGGGATAATGGCCAGTCAGTGCCGATATTTAACAGTCCCCCTACGAGGAATGTATGTGACACAAGGCCGAGTTTAACGTGGGTTTCTCCGAGCTTGTAGGCTCGGCCAAAAATATTCCCTTAAAACCCGTATATGCAGGTTCGGTATCTGTCTACCTTCCCGGACGAAACTTTACCCTTCGGCAAAGCTTCATCCGGGTTCCTCTCCGCCAAAGCAGAGAGTTCGACAGAAGTCGCACACAGTCAGAGATTACGTGTCGACTGCCAGTGAGGGCCAGATTATTCTTCAAGACATGTAATATACGTACCTAACCTCACCCGTCGCCCACACTTCTGAGTTTCCGTTGATTAAGTCATAACCATGGCTGTTTTTTTTTTTTTTCTTTTGTTTTTTTGTTTTTAATTTCATTATTTATTTCCATCAATACACGAGTCGGGTTGTCAAGCAAATCTTAAATAGACATCTCTCTTCTAAGATATCTTAGCAAAACTAAGGGTCTCTAGCTTCTAGCGGGCCTGGTTACTAAATCGGGTATTTCTACACGGAGTTCCTAATTGTGGGACGTTAACGTATCCCATTGCTTCTGAAGACAGCGTTACTTGTCACGACGGAGATTCTGCGAAAGGTTCAATCGTACGACAGGGAGAGAGAAAACACATAATGTATGTTCCCCTGCCTAGACCGAAAAACAATATTAATAATAAAATTAAATTTTTCGTTAGCCGGAAATGTAGATTCTGTGATAAATATCAGAAAAAATTGGCCATTATTTACATTATTCGGACTATTGTTCTCATCTTTACATTATTCGGACTGTTGTTCTCATCTTGTTCTCATTAACCAACGCTTTTATCCACTGTGCCATGTGTCCTCGAGGATCCAGTGACAAAACATAAAGATTGTGAGTTCAATACCCGGTTAAGGCAGTGGAGAACTTGGAGAGGGGAATTAACAGGAGATAACTGATAATTGACATCCATTAAACATGGCACATGGAACTAGAACAGTCTACCCCAGTGAGCGAAATAAGCGGTTCAGTTCAACATTCCAACCACCTGAAGAAGGCCGGAGCGTACAACGGCCGAAACGTTGTAATAAATATGGCAACAAAACAAGGACAATAGTCCAAATAATGTAAATAGTGTACATAATACCTCAAGAAAGAAAGAAAGAAAGAAAGAAAGAAAGAAAGAAAGAAAGAAAGAAAGAAAGAAAGAAAGGGGAAACAGAAATAAAGAAAGAAAGAAAGAAAGAAAGAAAGAAAGAAAGAAAGAAAGAAAGAAAGAAAGGGGAAACAGAAAGAAAGAAAGAAAGAAAGAAAGGGGAAACAGAAAGAACGAAAGAAAGAACGAAAGAAAGAAAGAAAGAATCAAAAGAGAACAAAAATGAACGGCCCAAAAGAAAATAATTAAACAAAAACGGAAGAAAAGAATGAATGAATGAAAGAAGAAGAAATTTATAAAAAAGAAGGATTATAAATGAAATAATAACAGAAAGGAAATGAAAAAAAAAGAAGAAGTAAAAAGAAAGAAATATTCGTAAAGATAAGATCTACAATGAAGGAAATATAAGAAAATATCAAATATGACAAAAATAATTACCGTAATTCCCCATGTATAATACGCATTTTTTATAAAAATAATAAGCACAATCGGGGGTGCGTATTATGCAAATCTGCATAAAATCTTTAAAAAATTACCGTAAAATAAAATAAGAATTATCATAAACTAGATTAAAATAATATTATCCTATGTTTAAAACCATTTTTTAATAAGAGTAGGAAACACTGCCTGTAACAAAATTGGATAGGTACAATTTATAGGGTTCGATTACTAAACAAGAGGTGCGTATTATGCATGATTAGAAGCATTTTCCCACAGTTTCAACACAATTTTAGGGGTGCGTATTATGGATGAAGGCGTATTATAGATGGGGTATTACGGTACTAAGTTAGCCGTAAAATAACCAGCGACAACATATACGTGTACTCGGCATTTTCTCTCTGGTGAAACTCTTTCCTTCTTCACTAATCATTTCATATCCTGATGCTTCGAATTCTAGCGGAGGACAAAGGTCAAAGAAGAATTCAGAACGAATCTTCACGAATGTTTATTCTTTGATATGTCGCTAATGTCTTCAAAAATAAGGAAAAATGAGTTTTCCAAAAGAAATAGAATAAATAAATAAAATGAAAATTAGAAGAAAAAAAAAAAAATATATATATATATATATATATATATATATATATATACATATATATATATATATATATATATATATACAGACAGAGAGGGGGTACAAAAGAAGAAGGGGTTGGTCGTCGGACTATTCTGTCCGGGACTCGACAACAGCACGACAGAACAACAGCAGGTGCCTTTTCGCATATTCGCTAAGCAAAGGATCGAGCGACAAAGGCGATTCTGAAACGGAACTTTTGCCGGGATTGATAAAGTGATCAAAAGCGCACCTGGTAGGCTTCTGCAATTCTATCTAAGCATGGAAAGAAAGGCACGCGATAAACACACACACACACACACGTAAGTATGCTATACGCGTAGGTATATATCTGTGGATTTATCCGTGTTTGCGCACACGCGTATGTACGAGGTATATCAAAATTTCGGAGAATGTTAAAAGCGAGTACAACGCGAAAGTTGTTCAAGCATTGCCACTATCTTCTCCGCGCAGTATACATTTTCATATAGTTGTTGGTATGCAGAAAAACTATGAAATAACTTGTGTTAGGTTATGTAAATTTGTTCATGTCAATTACCCCGATATTTTGAGCAAGGTGAACACTAAGTAACCATGGAAACTTTGTCTCTTTGAGAATCGTGAAGTTTGGAAGCATAATTGCTGTCTGAAAAACCCTGTGTACGTCGGTGGTACCCTTAACTTTGTGGATGTATATTTACTCACACCATGTCGTCATAAATTTGGGCTTATGTTCACTAGGAAAAACAGAAGAAAAAAACGTAAACAATAATAAAAAAAAACATGGTAAATTGTATGCTAATTTCATACAATTTTATTTTAGTATTTGTGTATATGCGCATTACATTAGAATTGTGATAAGGTTCATATTATAAAAGCTAGTAAGTCACTCAGTAATATCAAAATTCCTATCATGGAGGGTTTTTAAACACGTGTTGTCATCCCAACAGTACTTGGATAATGAGATTGAATCTCACGTCTCTTGGCGGGATGTTCGTATTTCCAGCAGAAACACTTCCTGTTGCATGCTGGGAGTAATTTTATTATTATTATTATTATCATTATTATTATTATTATTATATTTTAAACGAGATTTAAATTGTATTTTATTTTATTTATAATTTTCATTATTATTATTATTATTATTTCATATGTTACCTTTTCTTTATAATAATAACTATGTTTACAAAACAGAGTACTCTTTGTTACTGCTTAGGTCGGTGTCTGCGTTTGTTTTTTTTTGTTTGTTTTTTTCTTAGTTTGTATTTCATTTCTTTTCTTGGTTTTGGGGTTATTTGTTCTTGGTTTGTCTTTTTATTAATTTTCTGTTAGTCACCTTGCAGTCTTTGTGGTGGTTGTACCGACATTTTGACTTTTTGTGGAATATATATATATATATATATATATATATATATATATAGTGTAACCCGGATATAAGAGAGTTGTCGGGACTGGAGAAGAAGTCTCTTATATCTGGGTTTCTCTTATATCCGGGTTTGGTCTATTTTATATACATTAACACAGGCTCTAATTTGGGACCAGAGAAAATCTCTCTTATATCCGGGTTTCTCTTATATCCGGGTTACACTGTATATATAGGTACGTAAATTTGGTTTAAGAGTAAGTTTAAGTACATACCAGGCCTCGCTGCGATCAGTTCTAGCAGTATAGAAAAAAAGAAAAAAAAGAAGTTTTAATTGTAGATATAGGCAGCAGTGTGAGGACAATCTACCAAACATCCGTATTTAAAATATATGGTTCAGTTCGTAATTCCCTTACTTGAATCAACAGACACATGAAGAAGACTGAGGTATCAATGGTTGAAAAGTTGTGATAATAATAACAGCTCTAAATATAAAAAAAAGATAAATCCTCTTCCCAGTTTCAATTGGTCTATTTAGGAGGTACATGTTTGAATCAATACTTTTAATTTTTGAAAATAGTTCATAGGACTCACGACCAACACTTTTAGCATCACCATCATAGTTTGAAGAGAAGAGATTTGTTACGGTTAGCAGTGGTTCATTATCGCTTGAGCACATCTTCTTGCCACTGACATTGTTGTAAAATATATACTTTTCATAACGGGAATTTGTTTCAAAACGGATATTGCTTTGTGATTAATAAACAAACAACATCGATTCATCATTTCATGTGACTGTTGTGAAATAGGAACAAGAAAATCTAACCTCCCTGTGGCTAAGAACTCGTCTGCCCGCTGGGAGCAGCCAATTGCAATTTAAGTAAAGCGCATGCGTGGTTCTAGTTCTTTTCAAACTATCGCTGATTTCCACGTGTGGTCAAAAACCTGGATAAATGGTGAGCTGCGCGGCCTGAAGGACCGACAAAACTTGACTTTTTCTGGGTATGGGTGCGTTGCGGCTGTCAACTAATGTGAAAAAAAACCTATAAATGCAACTAAAAGAAAAACTGGTAACGAGTAACTTTCAACGCTTAATTTGAATATTATATGGGTGGTAGCTTTTCCAAAATTAAATATAATATACTAAAAATGTGTTCTTCAATCTTTAATATAAGGGGCAATAATCAAACCTACAGCATTTTTGCCAGTTTTATAGAAAGGATGTACCTGAAACTTGGGTTGTATCCTTGAATCTGGTAAAAATTTGAAAAATGAGACAAATTAAAATGTAAAGAATAAAATGGATCCATGTTGATATTTCATTTTAAAGATTGATTCTAGTTGGTCATTTCAACAGATCTTGCAACAATCATTCAGATTATAATAAGTAATCAAATTAAGATAATAAATAATTACCATTAATGAAACAGAACGTGAGCTACTCAACCGAAACATTCCCGGGGCCAATAATTAATGTTGTACTAATTCGAGAGCATATTTACATTTATTTATTTTTAATAATCTTTCAATATCTGGTTTTTTTTTGGTTGGGGGGGGTAATCTTGTTTGAGTTTATATAAGTATGTACATGTTTAATCTTGACTGTGGATTATCTATCTATCTATCTATCTATCATACTGTGTTCATATCAATCATACCCTGTTCATATCTATCTATCTATCTATCTATCTATCTATCTATGTGCACGTGACCGAGTGGTTAGAATGTTAGTTATCTGACCAAGAGACCTGAGTTCGATTCTCGATTTGTCCGGTGAATTTTTGATAAATACCTGCATAGAAGAGGCGATCATATCTATCTTATTATTACAATACATTCTCTCTCCATATATATATATATATATATATAGAGAGAGAGAGAGAGAGAGTGAGTGAGTGAGTGAGTGTGTGTGTGTGTGTCCAGAAAATTTTATACACATTTCATGAAAGGAAAAGCTTGTACTTCGCAGTTTTATTAAATTGCACTTGTTTACTGAGGTAAGATATTTTTCTCGCTATATACCATGACACCGTTGGCCCATAAACAAGAAATT